AACATTATTCATTATGAATATTTTATCAAATAGCAGTTGGTTTTTCATGCACAATTGTTCATCATATACCTCTGAACAGATGAACGGTTAATAATAACCTTAATCCCCACTTTTCGTCATTTCGTAGTTGTCTACTATACCGACAATACGGCAACTCAGTTTGTCAAATGACAACGTCCAAAAAATGATGATTTTATAACGAAATTCCCAATAATTAATATTCTTACTTAAAGAACCTTCGTCATTTATTAAAAATACTTGATTTTTGGGATATATTTATTTGGAACATATGATTTTCACCGATATACTTTAGTCTGCGATGATTTTAAATCTGTTAATAAATAGCGTTGGTCTAAAGTCCGGTTCCAAACTATTTTCTGAATCATAAAAAAGTTATAAACTATTGAATAATTGAGGTTTTCTGGGGCAGAAACTATTTGGAGGCTGATTTTTAAAGGCTCACAATATTATAACGCAGGTGTTACCCAAAACAATATCAGCAGTGTTTTTTAGCTAAGCACTTTCAAAACACTATACTACAAAATTACGCCTTATGTTACCTTACGGGTTATCTGTTTTCTTACGGAGCTTAAGCAGTACCTTCTATCGCTTAAACTTCAAAATTCACGTCAATGTTTCTATCTGTATAAATTTTGAACATTTTCAACAATTTATTAAATGTAAAAGTTATTGTGACGCAATATAGGGTTTAGCTATAAAAGACCGTTGAGGATTAGGGACTCACCCTGTATGTATAGTACGTGTTTATTTATTATTTTACTTTTGTACAATTCTCTTGTTAAGATTTTAATAAAAAACATAGATAAACTAATGTGTTTTACTTACATTGACGAAATTGGCTGTATTAAAGGAAAAAATATTCGTTCCAACTCTTTTTATATAGATATCTTTTAATACAGAAATACAGTCCATCTAATTTACTTACCGTTGCACGTCATTATCATTGACAGAGATCCATTTGAGATGGTTGCCAAAGTATAAAAAAATCCTGAATCCATTTTAAATGAAATAGGGCACATAATTATTGCAAAAGATTATACAACAAAACAAATTAATATTTAATGTAAATAAATAGAAACAAAACAAGAGTTAAATAATAATATTAGGCGGTGATAGAAATGTATTAGTTTTTACGGCCTGAGAAATAGAACTCACAGTTGAAATATGTATATACAAGAATGTATATTTTAAGCATCTACAATAATATACAAAACATACATTACATACTTCTCTAACAGCAGTCAATTGTAGAATGGGGCCGTTATTATCACGTTCCTTATAAAACAAGAGGTATTCACTTTAAAATTAAAAAAATAATGAAGTACAAAAAGTGTCAACACCGCAACTGTCAAATAAGTGTTACCAATTTATGCCAAAATTTTACCTTCGTTCGATTACAATTACCGTGTGTTCCGAACAAATGTTCTTCATAATAATGCATTTATACAAATTAAACGAAACATATTATTGTGTATTTCTTCAAGTTAACATTAATAGAAATCTTTAAATATTATTTCTACGCGTATGTAATAAAATATGTCTAGTGGCTGTAATGCCAGTGTACTCGGTAAAGCGATTCTAAAAAAGAACACACCTACCGAATAAAAATTTCCTGTTGGTATCATGTGACCTCACGAACTATGACGGGGATGACGTGCAACGGTAAGTAAATTAGATGAAGTATATAAATACATATGTTAATAGAGAATGATTGAACCTTAACTGGAGAGACCCTATTTTAATACACACAGAGAGACTTCCCGGCTGATAGACTACAATGTAGGAGAGGGGATAAGAACTAAACTCTCATGTACGGTTTATAGCCGTGTACTGTCATCATTTAATCATCGGCACTTCGTGTCGACAGACCTGAAGATGCTTTGCAAATTGTATAAAGCGAAACCGGTCGTCTAGATAGTTAATAAACTCAACAAGATACTTTGAGGTGATGTAGGGTTCATCTGTAAAGGACCGTTGAATATTAGGTACTCACCCTGTATACTATATATATATATATATATATATATATATATATATATATATATATATATATATATAAGGATCACTCAGACGAGTGGTGGGTTCTTATATCGGTCTCTAGGTGGAGAAATAAAAGACAAAGTTGATAGGCTACTTTATCTATTTTGAAGACGTTTCGCTTTCGAGTTTTGAAAGCATCATCAGTTCATCTAAAAAATTATTACAATATGAGAACCACACAATCATGGAAACGATGTTAATTGTTACCTTAAAAAGATATGTAGCAGTCAATGTTATTAACAAATATGTGAATGAAACTAAGTAAATGGACATAGTACGCTGATCTTGTATAAACAGTTAAGCAACTAACAACTGTTTATACAAGATCAGCGTACTATGTCCATTTACTTAGTTTCATTCACATATTTGTTAATAACATTGACTGCTACATATCTTTTTAAGGTAACAATTAACATCGTTTCCATGATTGTGTGGTTCTCATATTGTAATAATTTTTTAGATGAACTGATGATGCTTTCAAAACTCGAAAGCGAAACGTCTTCAAAATAGATAAAGTAGCCTATCAACTTTGTCTTTTATTTCTCCACCTAGAGACCGATATAAGAACCCACCACTCGTCTGAGTGATCCTTATATATATATATATTGGATTGACGGTCGTACTCCTTTTTCCGATATATATATATATATATATATATATATATATATATATATATATATATATATATATATATATATGTATATATATATATATATATATATATATATATAATATATATATATATATATATATATATATATAGTCCCAAGATTCCTAAGAGGAACATAGGGCTTCCACAAAGTGTCTCCAGCGAACTCTATTTCTGACAAGTGCTTTGATTTCAATCCAGGATTTTCCCATTTTTCTCCCTTCGTCCAGTACTGTCCTTCTCCGTCGTACTTTCCGTCGGCCTTGGGTATTCCAATCCAGCGCTGTCCTGGCAATGTCATTTGGCGGTCTACGGAGTGTGTGGCCCAGCCATCTCCATTTTCTTCGCCTTATTTGCTTTATGAAATTTTCTTGGTTGCTTTGGTTCCATAAATTTTCATTGGAGATTCGGTTAGGCCAAAATATACGAAGGATTTTTCGTAACGCTCTATTGATGAAAACTTGTAATTGGTGTACTATGGGTGCTGATATCTTCCACGTTTCGCAGCCATACAGTAATACAGCTTTTACATTTGTGTTGAAGATTTTTAGTTTCGTTTTAGTTGGGTAAATCCTGGATTTCCATATGTTGTTAAGCATGTTGTAGGCGTTGCGAGCCTTATTTATTCTTTCATGTACATTACGCTCTGTACCCCCATTACAGTCAATTATGCTACCCAGATATACAAATTCCGCTACTCTCTCAATTTTCTGGTCGTTGATCATAATAGGTTGGTTGTTTCTGGTACCAAATCGCATTTCTTTGGTTTTGTTGATGTTTATTTCTAGACCAACCTTCTTTGATTCTTCTTGTACTTTGTTTACTTGGAGTTGCATGTCCTATTTTGTATGTGCTAGGAGGCATATATCATCAGCGTAATCTAGGTCTTCCAGTCTGTTTGTTAATCCCCAGTAAATTCCTCTATTAGAGTTTACCTTTGTTAGTACGGAGTCCAGTACAATGTTAAATAGTATGGGGGATAAAACACAGCCCTGCTTTACACCGTTTAGCATAGCTATTGGGTCAGATGTTATGCCGTTGTGTAGGATTTTGCTTTCTGTGTCACTGTAGAGTTCTTTGATGAGATTTACTATTTTTCTGGTATTCCTATTTCCTTCAGTGCTTTCCATATGGCCGTATGTGTGAGCGTGTCAAAAGCTCTCTTGAAGTCCACAAAGCACACAAAGAGAGGAGAGTTGAATTCCTGTGACTGTTCTACAATTATTCTTAGTGTGTTATACTCTATAGTTCGTGTTTAAATTTTATTTTACGTTTGTACAATTCTATTGTTTAGATTTTAATAAAAAATTGAGAAACTAATCTATTTTACTTACATTTATGGATAATACAAAAGGAAATAATCATTATCTTTCTCTTGTGATACATCTTTTAATAGAAAATTGTGAATACAGAATGATTCATAAAAAATAAGATTTTTTTACTGGCAGATATAAGAAAATATTTATATTTTCTCCAGTATTACTTCATAGTGCGAAGTGGGGTTCAAATAAAAATAATTCGGTATTATTGATATATTTAAGATATTTTTTACACATAAATATAAATGTAATTACAAAAATAAAATTTTCTTGAGAATGTTTGTACATGGCCGTCGCCCACTTTATTACAAAGTTTTTGTCGCTTGAGCAATGATTTTCTCATAAAAAGTATACTGCCCTTAACGAGATAACATATTTTGGCACATATCCCGTAAAAAACCATTATATTCACTTTTCGTTTTTAATAAGTATTAATATTCTAACATTTGGACGTCTTTCGTATGCAAAAGCATATGTTGAAGTGAAAACTTCTATAGGTAGGCTGTAAAAGTATGTAGGCTGTATCTATTCTTGTAAAATCGGTTACAGTATTGTAAGTTGCATAGATTTGGCGCAACTTAGTGGTAATTTGCATCTTTATTTGTTGATTTTCTTAATAATTCATAAATAATAATTAAAACAAAATTTGTATGATTAAATTCATAATTAAAAATAAATAGTTTTAAACATTTTGCGGTTATTTAAAATAATTGAAACAATTAAATAAAAAAGAAATTAAAAATAGGAAAGAAATGCCTAAATACTATGTTTTCCAGGCTTGACTATAAAAGTTTTACTTCTGACACTTCCTACGCAACTTATTTTTTGATAACTTAATGTTTAATCTAGAGACAAATTGGTAGTTCAAATGTGAGGTACTTATAAATCATTACTAGACAGTGTTTTTTTATCACCACAACGTTTTTTATCATGTCTCTACCAGAGGATATAACTATCAGTCACACATTTTGTTACCGGTAAATCTTCTCATCCGAGGGGTACGTTGCTATGAAGTAGGGTTGCGCGCTAGCTTGGTATGGCACTCGTCCCATCGTCGAGTAGCTGGACGGCCTTAAAATTTGTCCCGAGGCAGTAATTTTATGCGGCAATGTCGCTGAATACGCGGCGGCATACGGAGGTACGGCATACACCGACGGAGCACCTTTAACACTACAGGCACAACTACTGCCGGGTCCCACTACCCCAACCATGTGGTTGCCGGCAGCTATGGGACCACCCCGATACTGATTGTTGCTCATTCTTAGTCTGAAAATGCAGATGATTATAACAAGCATTGCTATAAAGGCTACTACGCCCCGACTATGCCTATTATTAGAGTGTCATCGTTGGTTATGGGTGATTGACCAGCTTGTGCGATTTTGGGCTTGGCTTTTTCTGTCGTGGGCATCGACCATATGATTTCTGGCTCTGTCATTTTAGGATGAAGCTTAGTACCTCTAGTGAAGATAGAAGTGGAACTTGAGGCAGTAGTGGGGGTTATTTTTCTTGGGTCGCAAGTCAGCTCATCATCACCAATTTCCACAAGAAGTTTATCTGAAATTTATAAATGTTAATAGATTGACATTGATTGAGTAATTAGAATGATGTGGTTATTTAAAACTACAGCTGTAACAATGAGACAAATCTGCAAAATATTAATAAAAACTACAAGACAAAACTTCTATTTCAAGGTGTTGCAGTGTTATTTGTACAAGAATTTGTTAGAATAACTGTTGACACAAGATAAATGCGGTTCAACTGGTGCCTACCTTTAAGATGTTCTGGTGCTAAACATCTTATGGTAGTCATGTGCGAAGGCAACCACCTTCTTAAAGCCCTAGAACTGCAATCGCAAATTATAGGATTACTTTCTAGTCCAATCATCTTTAGATCTCCTCTTCTGTCTTCAAAACTGGCCAACAATTGGGGACTGATTGTTGTGAGTTGGCTTCCAGTGACATCGAGAGTGATTTTGGTCGATCTGGGTACCGGGAAAAATATAGCAGGTGGAAGGGTGGTTATGGAAGTGTTCATCAAACGAATTATAACTTCGGGACCTGTAAAAGTAATTTAGGATATAATATATTAAATATCTCTGTAATTACCAGTTACCTTTGAGTCCAGACAATGTTCCTGAAGATATACTTCGTAATCTTGATCCCCTGATACCGATTTCTTTAAGTCTCGGATGTAATAACGATTGCAATTGGTCTTTCCCTATTGCGGGATCTTTGGTTTCTATGTTAAGTTTTTCTAGTAGCGGCATGTTCTGAAGTAAACCTTGGATATCCAAGTATCCCAATTTAGGATATCCATAAACGTCTAACACTGAAAGGTTGGGAATTGCTTTAAATGCGTTTTTTTCGATCCTTCCGCATTCTCGTAAAGAGTGCAGACTGAGGCATCTAAAATTAAATATAAATTAACCTTCTCAGGTGGCGTCGTTGAGCAAGAAATAATAAATACTGTTAAAATAAAGAGATTATACAGAAACATGCAAGTGAGTGTACTTGCACAGGTAATCCTATACTTTAGCTGCATTGATGGTCTGTGGCTAAATCGTGCAGATTATGATGCTGATGGAAAAGACATTCAGGCATCAAAAGTCCGAAATTTCAATGCAATATAAAATTGTACTGATATAATGGCATCTCCTGAGCTAAAATGTTCTGGAAGCAAACCATTTGGATTTTTGGGTGAGTACTGTTTCAGGGGGAACACCATACAGGTTAAAAAAATTTGGATACGATCTTAGAATCTTGGAAGTCTTATAGGTAACAGTGTAGAATTAGTAGATGCGCTTATAATAAAGATCGTACAAATTGGTTGTATTCAAAGACTAATTGGAAAGGACAAAGGGCGAAAGATTTAGGTGAAGCATAAAAATTGTGCTATTTAGGGAAGAGTAACACTAGGAATGGAGTTGGTATAATTGGTGATTGACTAAGACGTAAGAGCATTTAGAGAAAGCACATGTGTAAGCGACCACTACCTAGTAAAGGCTAAAATAATGCCCATAAGACTAGATAAGAAAAAAGAACACAATGAGGAACAAGAGCAAAAAACAATAGAAATCAAATACAACTTGAATAGCCTCAACCATGAAAGCACAAAAGCACTGTACAAAAAGCAACTCAATGAAAAGCTCTTACAAGAAAACTTTGATAGTGTTGAGCACCATTACAATTACATAAAAGAATGTCTCAAAAGTGCAGTAAAATAGATGATGATCTGGAAACTATGAAAATAGACCTTGGCAAAGGTGTGAGACAGGGCGAAACCATCTCACACCAAGTTATTCACTTTGGCATTAGAAAATGTTTTCAAACAACTAAATTGGGCCGAAAATGGATTAAAAATAGATGGAGAATATCTTAACCATTTGCGTTTTGCAGACGACATAGTACTAATAAGCACAGATATCCATGAACTAAAATCAATGCTATAAGATTTAAATCACAAATCGAATCAAATAGGATTAAAAATGAATCTCGACAAAACAAAGATATTAAGCAACAACCTAGGAAAACATCACGATAGATAACATCAATATAGAAAAGGTAGAACAATATATATATATATCTAGGACATGCAATTAAAAACGAAAGGAAAATCAAACCGTAGAAATTAAAAGAAAGACACAATTATCATGGGCTGCTTTTGGTAAGTTGAGCTTTATTTTAAAAGACAGAAAAATCCCAATTCACTTAAAACGAAAAACCTATGACACTTGTATACTACCAGTTGCAACTTATGGATTGGAAACTATGGCAATAACAAGAAAAATGGCAGAACAATGAAGAGTAACTCAACGGGCCATGGAGAGGGCCATGTTAAATATAAGCCTCAGAGACAAAATTCCTAACACCGAAATACGTCGAAGAACTAAAGTAACCGACATCATGGGAAAAATAGCGACATTGAGATGGCAATGGGTAGCACATGTAGCAAGACAAGACACCAACAGATGGTCTCATAAAGTGACATTCTGGAGACCTCGAGAAACAAAAAGAAGCGTGGGAAGACCTAAAAAGAGATGGATAGACGATATAACTGCTGTAGCTGGAAAGCAGTGGATGAGAATTGCAAAAGATAGGGAAGCGTGGAAGCAATTGGAGGAGGCCTATGTCCAACATTGAATAAATGAAGGCTGAAGAAGAAGAAAGAAGATTCCATCAGAGGAGAAAGTTATAATAGGTGATTTAAAAGCACATGTGGGCCAATCTAAGACAGGATATAAAGCAATACATGGAAGATTAGGCTTTCGAACGAGAAATGAATATGTCAGTGATGTGTGCTTTAATTAGTAACATCATTAGATATGACGATTGTTAACACATTCTTTCAAAAGAGAGAAACTCAACTTATTACGTACAAAAGTGATGAGAAGTAAAATAGACTACAATAATGTTACCTTAGCTTTTCCAGTCCAACGAAGTCGTTGTTAGCAATTGAAGCTATTGGATTATATGAAATATTTAACGCTTGTAAGTTATGCAGCAATTTCCAAATTTGTGAAAAATTAGACATATCCTGAATACTGTTATTAGATAAGTCCAATTCTTCCAACAAAGTAACTCTTTCGAAACTATCAACATCCAAAGCAGACACGTTATTTTGTGATAAATTCAAGTGTTTTAAGAATGGCGTTTCCAAGCGCGGTACTTCTTGTATGCCAGTACCAGCTAGATTTATTTCTCGAACCGTTTTAGGTTCGCTTAGTATGTTATTAATAGCGTTCTTGGACAAGGGGTTAAAAGACAAGTCGAGTCTTTTGATATTCACCATTATACTATCATCTGCCGGTACCTCTCTAAGTTTGTTATGAGATAAATCTACAGAGTTTACGAAGAAGTATTGTCTTTGCAACGGTTTCAACGGTGCCACTTCAAAGAGATTCCTGGCTAGATTTATATTTTCGAGCATCTGTAGTCGTACTCTCTCGAAAATAGTCTCTGGTAAATCTGTTAATAGATTTCCTTGGAGATCAAGAAGCTCTAGTCGTACTAAACCTTCAAAAGTTCTGTCTCCCAAACGATCCAGCTTGTTGTAGCTTAAGTCTAAAACTTGAAGTTGAGTGGAGTTGTGAAAGGCCATGTCACTGATTGATTCTAACTGGTTTTTAGTTAACAATAAAGATCTGAGACGTGGTAGTCTTGCAAAATCTAATTCTTCTATCGCCTTAAGTTGATTTTGTGATAGATCTATATGTTGTAAGAATTGAAGATTGGCGATTAGTTCAGCTGGAAAGAAGTTAAATTTGTTTTTACTTGCTCTAATTTCTCTTAGCCGTGGATGTATTCGGAACGATGAAGGAAATAGGTAACTCAGTTGATTTTCAGAAATATCCAGTACTTCCAAGCTAGTTCCCGTATTGAAAAACTCTCCCTTGAACGATGTTAACTGATTCCCTCTTAAAATCAGCTTCCTTATATTCATTAAATTGACAAAAGCACTTGGTTTGATATTGGAAATATTGTTGAAAGATAAATCTATCGTCGTAATGTTGGACATGTTGCTAAACACACCTTCTGATATTTCCAAAATACTGTTGTGCGTTAAATATATCTCTCGAATATTGTTGGATTTTATCAAGAACTCAGCTGGTAAAGATTTAACACCTCCGTAGCTAAGATCCAACTCTTCCAGCTGATTAAGTTTGTGCAAAAGTGAAACAGGAATACTGTTCAGATGCTTATTTCTGCTAACATTGAGGTGCTGCAAGGAAGGCAGTAAAGTGAAAAAGTTTCTGGAAATATCCGTAAGATGATTATCACTTAAGTCAAGTTTCTGCAGCTTAAGTAACGTTAGAGGAGTACCAGCTAGATTTGTTATGCGGTTTTGGGATAAATCTAAGCTAAGTAAAGTGTTTTCTAAGCCAGAAAACGCATCTGAATTTAAAGAACTCAATAAATTTCTCGATAGATCTAAAGTTTGAAGCTGATTGAAGTTTTGGAATGACGCAGATGGTAGTTCCCTCACTATATTCTTCGATATGACTAGTTTTGTTACTCTATCTGCTATAGATCTCAAAATATCCGCTGACAAAGCAGCTACTCGGTTGTAGTCCAGTTGAAGGGATGTTAGTTTCGGTAGACGTCCCAAAGCAGAAGCTGGTATCAATAGAATATTGTTGTCTTTCAAGTTAAGGAACTCCAAATTGTCTAAACCTTCAAACGCATCGTCTTCAATCTAAAACAGACACAATTAAACAAACAAGAAATGGTTCTTCTATATGACATTAATTATAATAAAACATAATATGAATAGGAAACATTTAATTGTAAAAACTCTTTGTAAATGGTATATAATTAAAATTCCCTTTCGGGCTACATCACAACAGAACGTTTTCGGCATAAAAAGTCCATAATCAGTGTATTTATCAGGTCCAAAAACGTTCTATTGTGATGTAGATGTGCCCGAAAGAGTTTTTAATGGCAGCTAATCTGGAAAGCTCAATGTAGATAGCGCTAGTGTAGTTGGAGGTCACATCAACTATCCAAATCTATATATTTTTATGTAACTATTGCATTTATTTCGCTGTGTAGATTTAATTTGGGAGAATAAGATGCCTTAGTATTGTGCTGTTCCTTTGTGCTCATCGAGAATATCAGAACACAGGTTTTTCAAAAATAATCTGATGAGAAAAAAGTGGATTGTGCCAATAAGAAGATATAAATATGTTTGCTTTTTTGCACAATGCACACAGGAACTATAAAATTTATTTGGTTGGCTTTCTTTAGCGATACTTCCAGTCTGCTATTTTTTTTTTTTGGCATATGCCAAACTTGCTTTCATTTAGTGCAGGTATTTTTTTTGTATCATTTACCACGATCTTTCAGGTTAGTAAAGCATCGCAACAGCAACATGTTTTCACACTGCTCTGTATCGATTTCCAACAATACATTAACATAATGCTTCAGTAATACTTTCATTCATGGAGAGGACCAGTTTTACATTGTATGTAAGTGCTTCGGCCATTTCACTGTTCACTTGCGCTCAGTAAAAATGATATTCTGTTTTTGATTGACCAATAGCTAACAAAAAATTATTTTGCAGCATACTGTAGTTTTTTCTGTGGACTACAACACACATGCTCATTCCTTCTGCTAACTTATAAATATATAGAAAATAGTTATTTATGGTGACGAAATCTATTAGAGGAAATTCTGAAGAGTAGTGAAATCCACATTAGTGACCATACAATGTCATGTCGAAAATTATATTTCGATCATATGCAGCCCAACCAATAATATAATATAGAATACCTAATCAGTTTCTGGATAGGCAAAGCAATGAACTTCTGGCAGCGACACAATATCTTTCATACATATATCAAAAGTGATGATTTACAATGCGTTTTGTTTTAAGGCAACACAAAACTGTAATCAAAGTATGGTAGGTAGCTAAAATTACCATATTTTAGTTACATGACAGTATTAGTTTCGATAATTTCTTCCTTTTTTTCTAGTAATTCTCGCATTTCTTGTCAATTCTTTATCAAGTCGCAAATATCCCAATATCCGTATTTTTCTGTCATAATTTATTAAATCGCAATAATTACAACAAAAATACCATACAAACCCAAAGAATTGTCAAAATGTGTTGACATCCAACTACACTAGCGCCGCCCAGCGCGAGCAACGGCGTACATAGCTGCCATTATATACCTTTTAAAAAATAAAACTTTTGCGATTTATGGTATACAACTAACTACAGGATTTTTTCCTTGTAAATATCAATTGGTTGTTTAAAAACCACATCTTCTTCTTTGAGTGCCTCTCCTATCGGAGATTGGATATCATTATGGCGATTCTAATTTTATTTACTGCTGTTTTGAATAATTCGCTAGTGGTACAGCCAAATCACTCTCTTAAATTTCTCATCCAGGACATTCTTCTACGGCCTGGATTTCTGCGTCCTTGGATTTTTTTTGCATTATATTTTGTAGGAATGAGTACTTTTGTCCTATCATCAGGTGGCCTAAGTATTCAAGTTTTCTCTTTTTTATATTCATAATAACTTCTGGATCGTTATTTATTCTACGTATTACCTCTTCATTTGTAATTTTAATCCACCCAACTTATTTTTAGTATACAGCGATAGCAACGCATGTCAAAGCTTTCAAGATTTTAATATTCCTCTGTTTAAGAGTTCATGCCTCAACACCGTAAAACAAAGTACTGAATATATAGCATTTTAACATTCTAGTTCGTAGATGAATACTAATATCACGATTACAAAATAATTTTTTCATTTTTATAAAGGTAGACCTAGCAATTTCAATACGTCTTTTTATCTCGTGATTTTGGTCACCTGTTTCATTGATGAGGGTTCCCAAGTATTTGTATTCGCTTACTTTTTCAAGCTGTGTACCGTTTATTGCGATACTAGTGTCATGTATTGGATTCTTACTAAAGGTCATATATTTGGTTTTTTTAACGTTCATCCTTATGCTGTAGTTATTACATATCTCATTCATACTTTCAACTAGATGTTGTAGATCTTCCGCTGTTCTTGCCATTATCACAGTATCGTCAGCATATCGAATGTTATTGATAACTTCTCTTTTCGCAAATTATTTCGAAAACATCATCAACTGCATCGCAATTGTTGTAAACAGTCAATCATTTTGTTAACGAACTTTCAACTTGATATTTTGCCTGGTGTTACTCCCTAATAAGTTTATTATGAGTTATACAAAACACGATTCAAAGATCTTGATATAAATATAAAAATAAAAGTTATTTAAAAGAAGAAATGTATAATAAATAAAGATGTGCTATTTTACCGTCCTTAATGAATTAACTCCAATATCCAGTCTTCTTAGTTGCTTTAATCCCAGGAAAGTCCCTGGTACAATATTTGCTAAGTTATTCCTGCTGAGATCTAAGTGGTAAAGACCTTTTAAGTTTGCTAAGTGATTGTTATCAAGGCTCTGAAATACACAACAAATTAATGTTTATCTAATTAGCGATAAAAGTCATGCTAGTTTTACCTGTATGACATTTGAAGAAAGATTCAAATATCGCAGGCTTGCAAAAGCTTTGAGGGCAATGCTTGGAAACTCTATTATATAATTCTGCGACAAATCTAGCAAAAGTAAATTATCAGCTCCTTGGAATACGTCACTGTTAAACCTAGAGAGTCTATTATGAGTCAGTTTTAATGACTTTAGTTTTTCTAAAGGTGAAAAAGCGTTACTCTCAATGTAAGATATTAGATTCTTGCTTAGGTCTAGATATTCCAAATATGGTTGGGATTTGAAGGCTTCTGACTTCACAGTATCTAAAAATATGAATTGTGAAATTGTGCAAGATTTTTTTTTCCGAAAGATACAAATGGTTAATGAAATGCTTACCTATGCGGTTGTCCGTAAGAGACAACAATCTCAGATTATGGGGACCATTTAACGAAGAACTTGGAACTGAATTAAAGCTATTTTTCCCAAGATAAAGTTCCTAAAAGTTTAACGTTAATATAGATATAATTAATATTTTTTTCCTGTGGAAAATGAGTTATAATCACCTAATTTTTATTAAAGAAATTTGTATGAAGTATTTTCAAACAGCAATAAACAATTTAATTTTTTTTCGTGCTTTTTCTTATTTATAATACAAGTTCTTTCTTAACTTAGAGGAAGACATCGATCACCAGAAACAGGTTTCTGATTAGCAAGTTATATAGATGTGAAAGCTGGATAATTATGTAAAGAGCTCTTGAATTGAAGCTAGCGAAATGAGAAAAGAATGTAACGTCAAAATGAGAAAATGACGTCGGGAAGAACGAAAGAACTAATCTACTCGATTAATAAGAATAAGGGAATAAAGAACATAATGGAAGCACTATACAAACAGAATGGACGAACATCGTCTTAAATCTATTTGATTTCAACTGGCAGCTCATTACAAACTCAAATCATCAAATAGAAGTTAAGGGTTACCGTCAAGGCCAATAATCATTGCCGTACGGATGTAGAAATTTTATGTGGAAAACTAAATTTCAACAAGAAAGGAAATTATTTTGAGTGATTTCAGTTTGACCACTTTACTAGCTGTTTGCAGATTAGTGAAGATTTGCCTTTGTAATGAGCTGTGACTTACAAACAAATCAAGGATAACTAAACAATTAATAAAGTACAAACGGAAAGAAGGAGAGAAAAGTTGAATACCTTAGGCAAGGACGCCATAAGCATGATCAAGAGGCAGATATCCATATGTATTAGCAGATGGATGGCGGCTTTCTTTCTTGATATAAATGCTTTTACTAGTGCTAGCTGGAAAATGATCGTCAGACTACTCAGCGACTTGGGATATCTCCCTATCTGCAGTTGGTCAGGAACTACTTCACAGATAGGTGAATCAATTTTACGAGAGTAACTCTATGAAGACCACGGCGAGAGTGCCACAGAGCTCTATCCTGGGGCCATTGCTTTGGAATGTTCTTTACAATGAGAATTTGGAGGTCGATGTGGGCATTGGTGTACAGGCAATAGTGTATGCAGATGACCTGGTGGTGCTGGTAGAGCACAACGAAAACTGGTCAATATCATAGTGCGACCGAGACAACTAAGACTAGATAGAACGGACCAGTGAAGTACTTAAGGGTAGACCTGGATACGAGGCGAATCTTGGAGCAAGCACGTGAAGTACGTCGTTCGCAAGGCAGAGAGAGAATTTGGGCACTGACAAGGATTATGTCCAACGTGGGAGGACCAGAGACTACCAAAAGAAGAATTTTAATGAAAGTGGCTACTCTACTGTACTCTTTGCGACACTGGTATGGCAACGAGTACTTCGCACCTGAAAACCATATGGCAATATCTGCAATTTTTTCGTGAAATGACCTTTGAATGCCGTCTAATAGAAAAAAAAATCTATATTTTAATGCTATATAGCAGCATCTACAACGAATTTTAATATTCGGCACCAGAAAGATACGTCCTTATGGTTTTGTAAAAAAACCATCCTTCTTTTTATACCATCAGGCATTATCTGCAGTTGTTGCTCTATGGTTCTAAAATAGGAACAAAAACTCGGATCTATCTGGCAATATCAGCAGTTAATGCCAAATAAATGCTACATTGCCTGTTACTACGTTTATCTGTTGTTTTCATGTTGTGAGTAAACAATCGTGTTTAATTTAGTTAAACGTAGTAAGAAGCAATTCAAGAACCATGAACCATAGAAGATTGAATTTTCTGCAATCTTGTAGGTTATTTTTCGTGTAATAAATGATGTTGGATTAACCCTTTATGGACAGACTGTACTTAAAAGTACCTACCATAATGTTTTCAGGTCACATTTATAAAAGTGTCTACATTTCACTGACAAAAATCACTAGAATTTCACTAGATTAAAACAAATAAATTTCTATGGACTAACATAATAAATGTTATATTTTCGCAATATTTTCAATTTAAAAGTTAAAGCCCTTAACGCAAATACCAATATAATATATAACAATAACAATAATTATTATGCAGAAGGAATTATTTCAAACAACCATAATTCAAATTTTATTTAATAAAATAAAGAACGGTATCCAAAGTGCTCACGTTATCTATTTGAAACAATTATTATATAATATTAAATAAAATTACATAAAATTTTGCGAAGAAAAATGTTCGGTGTTCCGAAATTTTGCTACGTTTGGGACCATATTTAACACGGACTTTAATATAAGCTCCTTTAAGCCCAAAAAAGACTTCTGCTCGCTATGTGAAAATTACAAAAATTCATTAGATAAATCTACATTAGAAGCAGCCTATAATACTCACCGTCAAGAAGTGGAACTTAGTAAAAAAGAAAAAGAAAATGAATCAAAATCTGCAAAATCTAACACTTGCATTACTGCCTGTTTTGACCTACAAGCCGTACTACCGACACTTTCAGGCGATATCCCCTTATTTTATTATAAAAGGAGATTATCAACATTTAATTTTACAATTTTTGACCTGACCACAAATGCAGGACACTGCTGTCTATGTTTCGAGGGAATTGTTAATCGTGGTCTTACAAATAGCGTCGTGCCTGCTATCATTTCTGAGGAACCATGCCAGAGAACAGGAAATGATATATTAAGATAACTGCAGTGGGTAAAATAAGAATAAGTATATTGTCTGTCTTTATCTCTATGCAATACAGAAATTAAACATACCTAAAATTACCCACAAATTTTTGATAACGGGTCACTTCCAAAATGAGTGGGAAACATGCATTCTTTAATTGAGAAACAAAAAAGGCGTTAGGAAGAACAATATATGTGCCTTCGCAATGTGCCACAGTAGTTCAAATAGCGAAAAAATCAGGCGAACCTTACAAAATGAATGAACTGCCTAAATCGGATATAATCTACTTTAAAAAATTATGTAAGGAAATGGGAAACAATTATAGCGTTGACGAAGAAGGAAATCAGGTTGTCTGGAATGAGTTTGAGATGATCAAGGTGAAGAAGACACTTGAAAATAAGTTTCAGGTTAAAACAAGCTACCACGATACAGAGGTCAGAAATAGTAATGTAAGGCGAAGACACCGAGGGTTGGTGGCTAATACGGAAACTAAGTAAATCATATTCGAAACCACCAGGAATATCCACTCGAAAAAAAAACAAGATCTGCTCTCACTATCTAAGGCTAATGTTATTCAAGAGCACTACCATAGGTTTTATGCAGATTTACATGTAAACAATGGAACAGTAGAAACCAAACAAACAGATTACAATATGCATGACTTTGATTAAGTGTTTAAACCAAAAATTTTTAATAAATAAGTACAATCTTAAATAAAAAACTTTTATTCGATATGAATTTTACTGTATCATTTTCCAAAAATTAATATATTTTTTAAAACCATATGGCCGTATGTGCTAAAATACCTATTTCCTGAAGAGAATTTCACATACTCCTTACTGCATACAAAAATATGCAAAATTAAAGACAATTATGCTAAATACCAGGTTTGTAGCTTAATTTTTGGAATTACAGTAAATAATATTAACTTTAAAAAAAATTAAAACGCTCATAACTCAACATTATGATTTTTGCAGTTACTGCCATATGGTTTTCAAGGTGCGACTTAACATCAAGAAATTTAGGAGAATGCTAGAAAAAGCCTAAAGAAACGAGCATAGGGTGGCCTGGAAGAGGGTATTAAAACCAAATATTGTACACTGGATGAAATGCGGCGATAGAGACACTAACCACTTTTTCACCCAGTTCCTAACAGGGGACGGCTCCTTCAGAGCACCTAGAAACGGTAGGGAAAGTAGCAGATGGAAACTGCACAGAATGTGGAGTGTCTGATAGGACCGAGCACTGTGTGTTTGAGTGCAGAATATTCAATGACGACAGAAACGAATTACACAGGAAGGTAGGTAGGGTCAGCCCGAGAAGAATAATGCAGGTATTAATGAGGGAAAAGACAATACAAGGCGATACTGGAGATAAATAGATAGATAGATAGATAGATAGATATAGATAGATAGAGAGAGAGAGAGAGAGGGCGAGAAAGAAAAAAGACGGCTATTCAATGATGCACAGGTGTAGAGAAGACATATCGAATGAGTAGTCTGGTTGAGGGGGTGGACTTTACTTTATATGTAGGGAGCTATGGATGAGCTATAAGTCTGACTCCTATGGAAGGACTGCGTGTGAATAGACCCTTTTACCTTGAACCCAACACACGACAAACAATCCTTAACGGGACGCGGCCTGGTACGGTCTTTAGAAGACTTACCACCTCCTTTCAATAAAAAAAGATCCCTGTTAAAAAACTGGACCGAGGGTTGATACCGAAACCGGAAGCGAATGTCCAAATACTAGAATGAAAAAGAAAAGTAAAAAATAAAGTAAACAGTAAAATTGATTTGCCAATGAACTATTAATAGATCTGGAGACTTCTCATTGATGGTGAATTAGGTGAACTGCAAATTCAAGTTTACTGGAAGCTAATGAATGATTAGCTAGGAATAACCTTTTGTAATAATAAAATGTAATGGTCTACTTTCATTTCAACGTCTTTTCTACGAACATAGTGCAAACGATGGTGTATCTCAACGGTAAACTGTTAGATATACTGTCGGAATAAAAGGTTATTCATAACATCGTTTAGTAGCTTGAAGTAAGCTTGGATTTGCAGCTCACCTAAGTCACTTAAGAAAAGTCTCCTGACTGCTTGTTGTTTCATATAGGGGGTCGCTACTAGCGTACTCAGGAATATTATGTTAGTATAACAGTTATATACATGAAGAGTATTCAATTTACATTTACATTTAAATACAATCGTCCACTTTGATTAGCTACTATTTAAGAGTTTATCTTTTTATATTTTTTCCTACAATCTAAACGTTACCTGTAAACTATCACACCCTTCCAAAATTCCTTCTTCGATGGCTTTAATACTATTACCGCTCAAATCTAAAATCTGAAGATGACTTAATCCCCGAAACTCTGTCGTGGAGAAAATTGGATTTAAAGTGTCCCCAAGAAGATTGTCAGCCAATCTGAGTTCCACCAGCGTAGATTTCAAACTTTGAAGCATCCTTTCTGTTAGTCTTCGTAAAGAATTACCTGAAAGATCTATACTTCTTAGTGGAAGATCCGTGGAGGTAAAAACCTATACAAGAAAGAGAATTATATATTAGTACATCTTTTAGAATTAGGAAGATAATAAATGTATGTAACGTTTGTCCTAAAAGTTTTGGCACCAACTATTTATCGGATTTTTTTAAGGAAAACATTGATTTAAACACCAACTAGTTATCATAAAACTATAACTTAATATTTAACTAAACTATATATGTAGTAACCTATTCTGCTTTACTAGATTACTAGATTACAAATTTCTTCGAATGTTTCTCATGAGGATCTCGACAGAATTCAGATCAATTTCTCTGTTTTTCGTAAATTCGACCTAATTGTTCTTAATCTTGGACTTCCAGCCTTATTCCTAGACAGTAAAGCTCAAAAATCTTTTATTGGACGAGCCTGCAACAAGTTTAGAGGATTATCCTTCTTGGGAACAAAAGATATGTGGTTTTGGGTATTTCTTGAGCAATTGCATGATACTAGGTCTGTCCAAAATATGATATCGTCATTAACGTGATGTTCATAGACAAACTGAAGCAATTTGGAAACGCAGTTATCAATACAGCTCTGCCTATTCAAAGCTTTAGACGTCACTCTTCCACAAAAGGTCGAGATATACCCCAATACACTACCGTTAGAAAGGACCTAGAAGTACCTAGAAGGAACATGCTACAAAGCCCTTCGCACAACAACAATGAAATGTATAGACAAAGAAGAACAGAGACAAGAAAACTAATGAAAAGAAAGAAGAGAGAGTATCAGGAACAAATAATCAGAGAAATAGAAGAAAAAAGAAAGAACAAACAAGCGAGGCAGTTCTTTAAAGGAGTTTCAGATATCAAGACCGGGTACCAAGCAAGAACAGGAAACTTTCTTCAAAACGACAGTGGACAGCTTATCACTGATGACAAGAAAATCTTAAAAACCTGGAAGGAATACTTCTATCAACTATTGAATGACCAATCTAGCAGAAGTACATCAAACATAGAGGTACATACAGCTGAAATAGAAGACCAATACCCGACATACGAAGAAGTAATACAGGCAATTAAAAAACTCAAAAATAATAAGACACCAGGTAGCGATGGTATACCCGCCGAGTGCTTAAAACATGGAGGAGAAGCATTGTACAGTTCGATATACAAGCTAATTCAAGACATTTGGCAAGAAGAAACAATGCCAGATGAATGGAAAGAAGGGGTTATTGTACCAATACACAAAAAAGGAAACAAAAAGCAATGTATTAACTACAGGGGAATAACACTCCTAAACACCACCTACAAAATCCTTGCAAACATCCTGCTAGAAAGAACCAAAACATACACAGAAGAAATTGTTGGAGATTATCAATGCGGATTTAGACCGGGCCGCTCTACAATTGACCAGATATTCACAATAAAACAGATAATGGAAAAATGCTGGGAGTTTGATCGTGAGCTTCATCAGATGTTCATAGATTTTAAACAAGCATTTGATAGAGTATGTAGGGACAGACTGTGGACAGCGATGCAGGAACTTGGCTTTCCAAAAAAACTAGTCCGGTTGATACGGATGTGTATGGAACGGTTACGATGTAAGGTGAGAGTTGGACAACAATACTCGGAGACATTTGAAATAAACAATAGACTAAAACAGGGAGATGCACTTTCACCACAACTCTTCAACTTAGCTCTGGAGCACATAATCAGAAGTGCAAGAATCGAAAAACCGAATACAGTATTTCATCGAGAAGGACCAAACTTACTACTGGCATTTGCAGACGATATAGATCTAATAGGAAACACGCGATTAAGGATGAAGGAGACTTTCGTAAGGTTTGAGAAGGAAGCAGAGAAGATGGGGCTCCAAATCAACGAAAACAAGACGAAATATATGTATATGAGCCGCAATAACCAAAGCAGAGACAGAATCGGTCAGAACATTACCATCGATGACTTTAACTTTGAGCGCGTTAGGGAATTCAAGTATCTTGGAACAACAATAACTGAAGACAATAACGGATCACAAGAAATAAACAACAGGATTCAGGCCGGCAACAGATGTATTTTTGCCCTCCAAAACCTTATAAAATCAAAACAACTAACACGACGTACGAAGATACAGGTCTATAAAACAATCATACGACCCGTTGTGATGTATGGAAGCGAAACGTGGACGATGACAAAGGCAAATGAAGAGAGACTACGTGTTTGGGAAAGAAAAATCCTAAGGAAGATCTTTGGTCCGGTGCTTGATGAAACATCAGGACAATATAGGATAAGAACTAATAAAGAGCTTGAAGAACTTTACCCAGACGCCAACATCATAAAAGAAATAAAGTCCAGAAGACTCCAATGGGCAGGACACCTCAGAAGACATTCTGACGAACGAACAGTAAGACTGGTGTGGCAGGAAGTCCCAACTGGAAGGAGACCACGCGGACGCCCTCGTCTCCGGTGGCGAGATAATATAGCAGGAGACCTAAGCACTATGGGCGTGGAGAATTGGATGGAGGTTGCTCAAGACAGAAAACAGTGGAGGCATGTTGTCGAGTCGGCTAAAACCCACGAAGGGTTGTAACGCCACGGAGTAAGTAAGTAAGTAACTACCGTTAGAAATCGTGCACTGGAACTAGGACTTTATCTGCAAATTTCGCTTTGTTTGTATGTAACATTATCAGGACATTCTTTTACTTTGTCCGTATAAAATCCATCGTTTTCATTCATTTGAAAATTACTCAAAGTGAAATACTTTTTGTTGAGTCAATAACTACTTAATATGTTTAATTAAAAAATCCCCAATCAGCGCATCGTCTCTCCAGCCAAGGGCTGGTGTAAGGTAATTAGATTTTACGAATTTTTTGTCTGGGAATGCAGGGAGTATCGTAATATTAATGTTAGGGTTACGTGAATTTAATTTCTGTTTTATTTCGAGTCCATATAATTCTGTGGAAAGTAAACTGAATGACTTCTCAAACGTAACATTTGGCGACAGTGACAAGACAAGATAAGGGTCTTCTTAAAAGTTAGTTGTTTTCGCTTATTTTAGTGCAAACTTTTTTCTGGCGAATAATTTTGTTTTATAGTAAGGCTCGGCCGAAATTAACGTTTTAAAGCGAAAAATGAAATCAGATAAAAAACTCAGAACGGTGCTTTTACCAAAGTTGCTAATGTTTTGCACTGTTTGTTAGCTGAACCGATAGACACTCGACCCTGGCAGAAAATTAGCATCGAATAAGAAGTTTTACAAGTAAAGTACAATGAGATTTGTGAAGTGGAAAGTGCGGTACTTAATAGTATGTTCGAAGAAGCTTCTGAAGAAGAGTTAATCAGTGAGCTGGAGGCAAAGGATAAATACAGTGCAAGTTACTTTGAACTTAAGTACAAATATGAAGACAGACCAGGTTTAGTAAGTTCATTAGTAGATGTCTTGGAAGAACTTTTGCGAAAAGTTTTAGGTCGATCGTCTCTCAATGTGTGATTAAGAAAGTATAGTGAACTCGTGTCCTTTGACATATCTTTCGAATCATCCTAGCGCGTTAACCTTCAAATATTCTTTTACAGGAAGAAGTTAGTTACTAGTTGCCGGATTGTGATTTGCTAGAGCAGAATTGTCTCACGCGCAAAATATGACGTTTACAAGAGTTGAGAAATCATTTGCGGAAAAGATTTCATGCTGAATATCTGGCTCAACTCAAATCAGGAACGAATAAGACAAGGTGTAACAAGGTGACTAATAACAATAAGAAAAGATGTCCAAAGTGTCTATCGGGGATGTCGTTTTAGTCGGCAATGACAACATCAAGCCTCTTTAGTGGGCTTTAGGAAAAGTTATTGAACAGATAACCTGTACATCTGTACCAGATTGACCTGGTACAGATGTACAGGTGCGGCAAGTTTGTCTTGCGACTGCACAACGCTAACTTCTGAGACCATTACAAAAGCTTTATCTCCTTGTTAACATTCCAACCTGATTTCTTACCAATCTCTCTGACATCTGTGCAATAATTGCAGGTGGTCTTCTACTTTTTCGGAGAATCAGACATGGTATTCCCCTCTCTTACTTCATTATTGTTGTATAAAGGGTTCCTGAAATATTGCGTATATTTCGGCTTTGGATACCAGTTCAAATAACCAACTTCTAGATACTTTTTCTTACATCTAATTTATGCGACATATTAAAGCGAAAATTTCAAAATAAATAAATCTCAATTAATAATAAACAACCTTTTTGTTTCCAAACGCAACTTGATATTATTTTGTTATTGTTGCCAATGAATTTTGTGCCAAAACTTTTAGAACACACATTAAAATATTTATTCTTTGACACACCTTCCTCTTATACTTTCCTATTTATTATCTTATAGTTATAACTTTAAAATTAAAAGTTCGTACCTGTGTGGGTAGCGACTGATGTCCCGCCCATCTTTGACTGAACGATACAATTGGCGCACCGAAGGGCAGCGAAGGAATTTCTGACGAAAAAACTACTCGATCACAGTTGACAGCAATCGAAGGGTTTCCATCCAACGCTTGTTCTATAGGTCCCTAAAGTACACGAGCAAGGAAAACGTAGTTCTCTGGATATTTCTATACATGGCCTAGAATCTTCAGTTGAAGAAATGGAGACCAGAAACAGCAAAATGAATGCGAAGCTTTTGAGACGGATCATCTGAAATTAAAAAATTTCTTACTTTTCTGAAAACAGTTTTTTAAGAAATGTTTTTTAATTTAATTTTTTATTATAGGTACACTTTGTTCATTGCGGTTTTTTCTTCATTTCTTGACTACGTTATCACAATTTTTGTCATTGATATAAGATATATTATTCATATAAGTTAGCAAGGGCGTTTTCTCTTTATCCATGATTGATCACACATTAGTTCGTATTCTACACTACACGTTTTGCAAGGTAATCTTACTTTCCTCCAATAAAAGTGAAAATTCACAAAAATAAAGATATCTTGCTATTATCACAACGCAATTCGTTACATTGCGTGGTTACGGTTATCTAAGAAGGCTTTCTTTTCTTCGTTAGTGGTATTATATTCATTAAGAGTTCATAATTACTGGTTTTATTCTTCAATCTTATTACTTTATATAACTTGGATATTGAAATTGAATTGAGTGCAGTGAGTGTGTAATAATTTGTACTTTACGACGCATTACAACAATAATCATAATTATTATTAATAGTACAAAGCACATAGAAAGTGTAAGGGGTAATTGCAGAAACACGTTCGACTGTTTAGTATATACTTTTAGTTTCATTTCATTATAAATTATAAAGATTTAATAATAAGCAAAATATCTGGGGTCGAAAGTCGAAGAAAGTAAAAGTGTTTAAAAAAATATAAGTTATAGGGTAGGGTAGACTAGTCAATATCATCGTTATGTATGGAATAAATGATGACGAAAGAGCAGCTAGCAAAGACCTATTCTGGGATACGGCCTCAGAAATAATAGACAGTTTAAAAGGCAATACTAGAGTACTAGGGGATCTAAATGGTGGAGTGGGTGTAAGAGATGAACATACCCAATATGTATTAGGACCATATGGAAAAGAAATTAAAAATGACAATGGGGAACATATTATTGATATATGCAGAGAAAATAATTTAATAATAATGAAGACATTTTTTAAACACAAAGATGAACATAAATATACAAGAGAAGTCAAAAGTAGAGGCGAAAGATCCATCATAGACTATGTGTTAGTAAATAGATCATCGAGGCAATGCATTAAAGACGTAAGAGTAAAACGAGGAGATGAAATATATAGTGACTACTATCTAGTTGTAGCCAGGACCAGCTTGGGAGTGCAACAAGAATCAATAACGAAAGAGACCAAGAAAACAAGTACAGCTCATGATACACCCACTATAGAAGTAATCAAGTCACATAAGCTAGTGGACAAGGAGACAACAAACAAGCATATTTATATTTGAAAAACAAACATATTTGAAAACTACGTTAAAAACTACCTAACAGAGCACGCTGAACATGACGTGACTTATTCTCGCCTTAATTTCTTTGGCCTGTTCCCATTTTGCATTTACGTTGGTGCCAAGGTACACATAAGATTCTACATGGTCAATTAGTATGTTACTTATCCGTAATTGTCGAGCAGGTTGTTGCTTTTTGCTTATCAGCATCCACTTTGTCTTCTTGAAGTTGAGGCCGTATTCCTCACTAACTGAATAAACTCTTTCCATTACTTGTTGTAATTCGTCTATGGTACTGGCAAGGATCACCGTGTCGTCGGCATATCTTATATTGCTCGTTAACTCGCCGTTTATTTTTATGCCCTCATTTGCATTTTCCATACATTTGTTAAAAATTTCCTCGGAATACATATTGAATAGGAGTGGGGATAATATACACCCCTGACGGACACACGTTCGTATTGTTCTATTTTCCTGCATTCGTTGGAAAACCATTTTTCTTTGGCTTCTCGAATTTTCATTCTTAGGATTTTGTGGATCTGCTTTTATTTTTCTGCATTTTTATTCTGGAATTTACGTCTTTCATCCATCATATCCATTATCTCATCAGAGATCCATTCTTTTTTCTTCCGTCTGTCACGCTTTAATAGAGTCGCGCATGTTGTTTGGATTGCTTCCCTCGATTTGTCCCATCTCTCTATTATGTCCGACGTGTTCTCGTTAATGTCGTTTATTTTCTTTTCTAGTTGTTCTCGTACTTTTATTTCGGTTTCTGGGTTAGTGAGTTTCTTAATACCGATTGTGTTTAAATGAGATCTTTTCTCGAGCCATTTTACTCTCATGACCATTCTGCATACCAACAAATTGTGGTCCGTAGGAACATCGGCACCTGGGTACGTTTTTGATGATTTTATCATGTTTTTATATCTTGTTGGTACGGCTATATAATGTATCTGATTCCTTATGATGTTGTCAGGTGAGTCAGCGGGGATTTCCATATGTAAAGTAGACGTTTGGAGAGCTTGAAGAGTGTATTACTTAACAGCAGGTTATATTCCTGGCAGAAGCATATAAGTCTATCACCTCTATCGTTTCTCTCACCCTAGGCCGAAGTTTCTCACGATCTCATTCACCTTGCCTCTGTCAATCTTTGCATTGAAATCTCCCATCACTATTGTTACTTCATGTTTTTTTTGTCATTTTCATCAGGCTTCCCGGTTGTTCGTAGAATTCTTAGCTGATTGCCTTATTATACTATTTAAAATTTAAAAATATATAAAACAGTATGAAGCTGCACGCTAGTCTACAGTACAGCCTACCGTAGGTACCACTTTTTCTTTGTTAAATTTTTTTGCTTTGGCACTCTCTTAATATGTCTTCATATACTCTTCAAAATTGTCTATAAAAACAAATTGTCTTATTGGCTTTCATGTAGGTATACATAGGTGTACATATTTTTTAAGTATGTTTTTATTTTCTTTTGTTTTTCTTCTTTTTTTGTTTGCAAAAGTTTCGGTTCACTTTGTCTAGGCTACTTAAAGAGGCAGTCAATTCGAAAGAATTCTCTCACCATATAAATGATTTATTATGTAATCTAGGTCAGAAACCACTTATTTATGTTACACGCTATAAATAAAAAGATTTGGTTTCTTCGTACTATCTAACTGTAAACATTTCACATCTACATACTGATGTTATTTTTTTAAATAAACTATTATAACTGTACAAACTAGATCTAATATCTGATTAATATTTTAGCTCCTTTATTTTGTGCGGCTTGTGCGGCATAAGCTCAGAGGTGGGCTTCGTATTTTACGAATATTTTTCCACTGCCCGTTATAATTATTATTAAAAGCGTCCTTATTATCGGATATCTAACAATTTCATTAGTGCTTTTATATTATTTATATCACAAGTGACCATTTACTAAGTATGAAAATACTTATAGAACGAGCAAATGAATACCACATTCCTCTATATATGGCGTTCATAGATTTCGAAAAGGCTTTCGACAGTGTCGAACATTGGGCAGTGAAAAGTTCTTTGATTAACAGCCGAATTGACCACAGGTATACGGAACTAATAACCAATATATATAAGGAAGCCAAAACAAAAATTAAAGTATATGAAGGAACAAAATCATTACAAATAAATAGAGGCGTGAGACAGGGTGATACAATATCACCGAAACTTTTCAATCAGGCTCTTAAGGATACTTTTAAAAGATTAGAATGGAAAAAAAAAGGTATAAAAATTTGTGGACAACGCTTGAACCATCTAAGGTACGCTGATGACATCGTATTAATAACCGATAAAAAAGATGAATTATTTGAAATGATGAAAGAACTGGACGTAGAAGCTGGAAAGATAGGCCTTAATATGAATTACAGCAAGACCAAAACTATAACAAACACAGATGAAGACATCACAATGAGAATCGGACAAGATGAAATAGAACAAGTTAAGGATTATATATATGTTGGTCAAACTATAAAACTTAACAAAGAGAACCAAACAGCAGAGATCAAGAGAAGAGTTAGACTGGCATGGGCGGCATTTGGCAAACTAAGCTACATTCTTAAAAACAAAAGATATCCACAGCATCTTAAGACCAAAGTATATAATCAATGCGTACTCCCTGTTCTTACGTATGGCTCCCAAACGTGGACATTTACAAAAGCAAACATGGACAAAATCATAAAAACCCAAAGAGCAATGGAAAGACAAATGTTGCACATAAGACTAATGGATAAGAAGAGAAACGAGTGGATAAGAGAGAAAACAAAAGTGAGGGATGTTAGAAAAAAGTTGCAAAATTGAAATGGAGATTTGCCGGACACAATATAAGACAAAAAGAAGACCGATGGAACAAAATTCTTATAAGTTGGAGACCGTGGGAATATAAACGAAGCAGAGGAAGGCCCCAAATGAGATGGGCAGATGATATCAAGAAGCACGTGGGCTCTAGATGGATGACTGTTGCGACAGACAGAGAAGAATGGAAAAGGATTGGGGAGGCCTATGTCCAAAGATGGACCGAAGAAGGCTAATTAGATAGATAGATAGATTATTTATATCATCATCATCATCCAGCCCCATTTTTACATCCATTGTTGGATATAGGCCTCCTCCAAACGTCTCCAGTTCTATCTATCTGTAGCTGCTGCAATCCAGTTTGTTTCTATTCTCCTTAGATCGTCGGTCCATCGGGTGGGTGGTCTGCCTCGACTTCGCTTGTCGGCTCTTGGTCTCCACTCCATATAATCTCTTCGACCATCTTCCGTCTTCCATTCTAGCAATATGTCCAGCCCACCTCCACTTTGTTTATTCGCAGTATAATATCGTGTACGCCAGTTCGCCGGCGTATCTCCTCATTTCTCAGGCGATCTTTCAAGGTCAGGCCCAGCATTGATCTCTACATTCGCCTTGGTGTTACCCTCAGTTTTTCGGCAGTAGCTTTCGTTAAAGTTAGGGTCTCTGCTCCGTAGGTCAAGACTGGTAAGATGCATTGGTTAAATGCCTTCCTTTTCAGGTGAATTGAGATATTTGTTTTAAAAATGTCTCTCATCCTTCCATATGCCGCCCATCCCAACGTGATTCGTCTATTTATTATTTATATTATATACAGTTCTTGTAATAAATATATTAGATGTCTTGGCCTACCCATTTCCCTAAGCGTATATGTCACATTTTATCGTTTATGATATCTTTTATTTTACGTTATTGA